CTGTTAGAGCAGTGCGGTGTAACAGCAGAGAGTGTATTAGGTCATTTACACAGGGGAGAGAGCATATGGGACCATTAGAGTAGCACAATATACATCCAGCAGAGGGCGTATGGAGCTGTTAGAGCAGTGCATTAGAAAAACAGCAGAGGGGATAAGGGGCCATTAGAGTAGCCGGGTATGAACATGGCAGAGGGCACATGAAGCTGTTACGGCAGCGCCGTATAAATCCAGCAGTGAGTGCTGTGACAGATAAGATGAGCACAGGCATATCTTTGAGCCTTTTGTATTAACTTTAGCAACGTTATCTCTAGTGCTCCAGTCCTAAAAATAAAAGTACTGGACAGCTGTTCTGGCTTCCCAAAAAAGTGCTGGAATGGTGCATACTTTTTATTGCACACCAGTAGCTCTGAGTGCAGCAGCCTGTTCTGCACCTGGCATGGCCTAAACAGGAGCCCACCAGTCTCTGCTGGGATGCAGCCTGCTGGTTCTCCCCCTCCCACTACTCTGCCAGCCTGGGGATGCCCGTGGATAAGGTCCTGTCTGGCCGGCTAGGCAGCTGTGTTCTTGATTGCCCGGGAGAGGAGTTGGAGCCCAGTGCTTCCGGAGCGCCACATCCTGAGCGTGCTGGGCCCAGCCAGCTCTAACCCAGCAGCAAGTGTGAAAAATCGGGATAGGGGGTGGGGGGTAATAGGAGCCTATATAAGAAAAAGCCCCCAAAATCGGGACTGTTCCTATAAAATCGGGACATCTGGTCACCCTAGCCACCACACCAGGCCAGTCCCCACTTCCTGAAGCCTCTGGGCAGGGGTGGCTGCTCGCTCATCGCTTTGCCATGGCCCAGCTCCCACAGCACAGAAGAGACTGACCGTTGATGGAGGCGGGGGTAGGCAAGTGGTCACACTTCACCACCACCGAGCACAGGCTTACAGGGTCAGGAGCACTAGCAGTGCTCAAGTCCTTCCTAAAAAAGAAATACCGGAGCAGCGGACCAGCATGTTGCTGCATGACTCGAGTGCTGTTTGTTTGTGAGCCAGGGATTGTATGCTGGCTGGCTGGCTGGCGAGGGTTGCTCAACCCCATCCAGGAACTAAAATCAGGGAAGGGGTAATTACTGCAGACCCTGGGACAAGAGAAGGCCCCACTCCCGGTGAACTGCACATACTGGTTCAAGAGACTCAGGAGACAAAGACAGAGCTTGTGACAGAAAGAGCCAAGCTGAAGTGAGTGGGGGCCCTTGTTCTGATCCAGCTGAGATGAACCTTTGCCCATGGGGAGCAAACCCAGCTGAAGGGCTGGAGCCTGCCAGGATCTCCACATGGAGGATGGGGGTGTTCTGGTTAGGCCAGACCCACTGCATAATCACTGGAGCTAAAGCCCCACCCCCTGGGCTGGAGGGAGAGGGAGGTCCCTGATGGGGGCGGGATCAGCAATGCAATCACCTGATACTGTACTGGACACTTGCAGCCCGTCGAGGGGCACATGGGCCAGGAGCCTGGCCGGCTATTCCTCAGACCCAACCGGTGCAGGAGTTTACTTGAGCCTGCCATAAGGCGCCCGGCCCTGCTCTCGCCTGCCTAGCCTGGTTACGGGTGGCTGAGGAGATGCTCTAGGTGTGTTTCTCTGGTTAGGGCCACTCTAGGCTTTATCTCTGTGGTTGGAGGCCTCCAGGTCTCCCTTCTGTGACTTGGCTGGGGTCTCTGACCAATGAGATGTAGCCTAGAGCTTAGTCCCCCAGCTTACCCCAAGGCTTGGAGCCAAGGCTGGGTCCTGCTACGTGGTGCTCTAGTCCTCATGCCATGCTCCAGACCCTGGAGCAGCAGCTAGAGCCCCAGGCATCCTGGGAGCAAGGCGTACGAGCAGCCACATTAGGCACCCAGCTATGGATCAGCAGCCCAGCCCCACCCCTTTCCCAGAGCAGTCAGCTGCAGGAACAAGTAACTCAACCATGGCCTTCCACTCAATCCAAGATGAGAAGCAAGCAGAGACCTTTCAGCTGTAATAGGTTTGCTGTACTGCCTCTATTCACTTACAGCTGTGCAAGTCAATGTAAAATCTGCTGTGTAGCTCCAGTAGGCCAAGTGAGTTGCATGCCCCAGGGGCTCCTTGCATTCTCCAGCTGCTACCAACAGGCTCCCTATATGGAACCCTCCCATCCCCCTCTATTTCAGAGACTCTCTGCAACCATGGGCAGTGTGCGCACCACCATTTCAATCCCCCCACCCCCCAACCAGCCTTAAGCATGAGCTCTCCTTCCAGGCCAGGGCCTCAGGGTGCCCCCCCCACCTTCTTCCTCCTGGCAGGGTCTTTGTGTGCCCTCCTTTCCTCCCACTCCAGCTCCATCACTCCATGGGGCCCACTTTCTTCCTCCCCATTTCCCCACTCTGGATCCCTGCTTCCACCACTGCCCACCCAGTTTCCAGAATTGTCAACTTCAAGACAACAAAAGTCATGACCGAACCCCCCAAAATCATGATGGGCCTAAAAACCATGATTTTGTTTAAAAAAAGACTATACTGTGTTGTTTGGTCTGTCTTTTGACATCCCGTGTGTGTGCGTTCACTCTCCCAGATTCATTGGGTAAGGTGATTTTGGCCCCCACTGCAGGAGCTCTCACCTCGACATCTGCCTATTCTCTGCTCAGCAATTAATCCTACACTCCCATCTCCAAACCACATGTTCCCTCACCAACCCGCTGCATCCGCCCTGCCCACCCTTTGCCATCCGTTCAGTGCCCCAGCCTCACCTCTGCTTCTGCTGGGTTCTTCACACACACCCCAGGTATGGGGGGCTGCAGTGGGGCCTCCTCTCTCCCTGCCAGGCTAGGGAGGCAGCTCCGGGGGTTTTTCACCCCTTCCGTCCCTTCCCTGGCTGGGTGCTGCAGTGAGGGAGGGGGGGGAGGAGGAGTACCCCCTCTATTGCTCATGGGTGGGGGGAAGAGAGCAGAGCTGCCCTGGGCTGCTGGGCTCTTTCTGTCCCCCTGCCCCCTTGTGAGAAGGGCTTCAGGTTGCTGAGGGGATGGGAAAAGAGCGCTTCCTGCTTCCCACAGCACCCATGATTGGTTGTTCTGTCCTAGGAGGCGGGCAAGGCAGGTGGGCAGCCAATCGGAAGGCTCACATCTGCTAGCTAAGTGGAGCTTCTTGTGTCGTTGCCAGACTGGCTCCAGCCCCGACTGACAAACATCTGTCACAAGAGAAAAAATCCCATGAGTTGGCAACATGGAGTCCCACCACCACACTCCCTGGGTCCCTGCTTCCCTCATCACTCCACGCCCCACATACTCCCCATTGATTCCCTACTTTCCCCCATCCCCATCATTTAGACCCCAATCCGCTGAGTTCCTTCTTCCTCCTCCACTCCCCCTGGTCCCTGCTTCTTCCACCACCACTGCCCAACCCTTTAGTTCCCAACCCTCCTACCTCCCTTACCCCTCTGAGTCCCCATTGCCCTCCCCCAAATCCCCTCTTCCCTCACTATAAACATTCCCTGTAAAGAGCTCTCCTTTTTATTTCTTCTTTTTTTGTTAGATTCCAGGCTACAGATAATGTCTCTAGGCAGCAGATTAAGCTGCTGCCCCTGATATATGGAGGCAGCAGCATGGGGCAACGGAGAGATTGTTCTGTCTGAAGCACAAGGCAGTTTGGGCCTCCTGCTTTTCCTGTGAATCTGGCTTTTCTGGTGTTCTGATTTGTATCAAAATAAATAGTATTGTGCCCACTGATGCTTAGAACATTCCCTGCAATTTTGAAATGGATTGGTTGGTGTTCCAAAGTGATCTTTTTACAGACTAAGAAATGCCACTAAGTTGAGCATCAGACCTTGCTTTGCTTGCTCCATAAATGCAAATCAGAATGGTAATATTTGACATCCAGTGTGCACCCACTTTGCACTTGTGTAAATCATTACACACGTGCAAGGCAATGGAGAATCAGGTCCAATATATTTGAGGAGGTGAAGATCTGATATAGTCACATATTGCACTTGGACAAATCTGGTCTGCCATTTTTGGGTGATGAGTGAGTCAGAATCCTTAACATGAAAACATTTGGTTTGTTTGTTTGTTTTTTAGGGCTGTGATTACAACAGTACAGAAAATTCCAACAATTCCAATCAAAATTCACTGGAGTACCAGTCTTATAGAAATTGTGAAAGCTGAGAAAATAGTGCTTGTAGGTTTACTAAAACTTACTGTGGTGTGACTCTCGGTGTTAACCTGCTTAGAGATGTGCAGTCAGACTCTACACTGTTGGATGGAATAATATTGCTTTGTCACACTCAGGAGCATTTCTAGAGAATAAAATGTGAATACATGGAGTGGCTGTATCATTGGTACTGCTGAAAGGCTGATAAGAAGCAGTTTGTATGCATTGCTCTTCCCTAGATTGATGAATTATTTATCATTTTTGGTCATTTCCCCTTCATATGGAGGGGAGGGGAGGGGAGGGCAGAAGTGTCAGGGTCAGTGTTGAACAATTTAAGCCTGAAGCAAATATAGTTTGGTATATTTGTAAATAAGTAGTGGATTCACCTATTCTGGCCACCTATATTTGTGTAACTGTAAATTGCAATACTGGCCTATGTACAAGCAAATAACTGTACGCATTTTTGGAAAAATTCATAGAAAGTTATTAATAGTACTGGAGGCTTTGCAGAATTTCATTAGTTTTTGTTTTTTAAGAGGTGCTGAGGAGCTCTTGCAAAATGTTCTGGATGCTGATTAAAGAATTTTGCAAATAAAATAATCATGAGAATTTGATGGGAACCTTAACAAGTGTCAGACTCCAAGCTACTTAGATTGGGAATGTCCTACCAAAAAATTAACAGAAATATAAATTGTCTCTTTTCAGTCAAAGGTCATTCAGTATATTCTGAGTGCCAAAATATCACACATCATTCAAATAGCTCAACAAGAAATGAGTTGATATTTTATTTTGTGAACATAAATGTGAAAACAAAGGCATTGAAAATATTTTCATTAATTTAAAAGAAAGCACAGCACAATGTGAGATTTCTAATAGCAAAATTTAATAAATTAATATATGCATGCCAGATAAAAATACAAAATTACAATTGAAACAACAATAAAGGAAATATTGTACAGTGTTGCAGATTTTACTGCAACCACAATAAAAGGCGTGAAGAATTACTTAAAGTGACAAAGTACACATTTTGTTTCTGTTAAAAACAAATCACTACATGTTAAAGAACTGAGAGAAACCAGGAAGAAATCACCCAAGAAAGTGGGAAAACAATGATAGGAAATGTCAACATACAGCCAGAAGCCCTATTTCACAGAAATCATTCTTTTTTAGTATCAGAAACCAATTACATAGAACATAAAAGCAAATTCACAATAGGTTTACACTGAGAAACAAGCTAAATTACAGTCACATACTATCCAGAACAAAGATGCTTATAAAAGATGCTGCACCGGTTCTCGTTTCTTTTGCAGAAAGATCTTCATCAAAACAGGGAGAACAGGAAGACAATCATGCAATCGAGCTTTAGATTTTTGCTTTAAACATGATAAACACCCAGGATTACTAGTACTGGAAAATGTGTTAACCTTTTTTCAACATCAGCTGAATGGCACTACAGAAGCGACACTGAGTTCCTTCATTTTTATCCTGTATACATCAAAAGCTCTAGCAAATATGGAATTCAGCTACAAGAGCCAGTTAAATTACATTAAAATATTCCTTCCTCCACAGAATATTGTTGTTTCCTTTTTTAGAAAGAACAAAACAAAATATTCAAAATAAAATGTCTTCATTTTTTATAAGCATCTCCACCACAAGTCTCTGGTAACGGATATCATTCAGTGCAGCCATTGCATCTAGTTCTGGTGCTCGCATAAGGGTTGGTCCAAAAACAATGCCAAGATTCTCTGCATTCATGAGATTCTCCTTTTCATGAAGGGTTACCCTATAAAGGAGGACAATGTTAAACACAAGGCATGTCATACCAAATATTGGTTGATGATACAGTGCACATCGACATGTATCTGAAAACCCCTGGGCAGAGGGGAGGAGCAAAAAGTGCATTCTTTACCTTTCCCAAAAACCTGTGGAGAGACTGCTTCACAGGCCCTATGTAGGGTGTGTGTGGGGGGATGTTCCTACAAATCAGAACATGGGTGCACAGTAATGCTACTTTTGCCATTTATAAACGTACTGAGGGCCATTTAGGTGGGAAGGCAAAACTTAGTGTAAAGATCCTCTTTACAGGACTATAATAAGATTACCAATTTAAAATTCACCACAAATGTAGTGTTCCCACTTACAGGATAGGGGAAATCTGATCAAACTGTTTCTCTCTCACGCATTCTATTATAGTCACATCTGAATTCATTTGATATATACATTGCAAACTAACCATGTCATGAAGTAGTCAACTGGACTATGTGAGGTGAGATTCTCTCCCACAGGCACAAGTGATGCAAATTACATCCCCTGGCACAGACAACAGCAGCAGCACCTGAACGGGGACTCACCTTGGGGCTGCTTTAAAATCCATCAGGGCCGCATTGGAGCCTCATTTGTAGAGGCCATCTAACAAATATGCTAAGTCAGTGCTTTGGCAGGCTTGCCCCACCCCTCCTTGGCTGCATCACACAGCTCTTGGGTCCCTAATAGAGTGGGGTTATAAACTGCTAGTGCAGCTTTTGCCACCACTTGTAGCAACTTCCTATTGCTGTTTATCTGTAATGTAGGGTCCACCAGTGCCTGTTCCAAAGCTCACCATCTGCTATTATATTATCTTTGGGTGGACCACAGAATATAATTGACCACGTATGCACACAGAGCAGAATATATAGAGTATTCTCAGACAGTATATGGTTAAGAAGTGTGAAGACACAGAATAAATGTCTCCCCAAATTCTGGTTACTGGCATAATAGTAGTAAACAAAATGCTGTCTAGAGACACTAAACTTCTGCTTTGGTTTATCGCAGTTAATTGCCTTTCTCAATAAAACAAATTCAGATTTGTAAATGAGTTTGTTCGCAGACTAAACAAAGGACTTAATATACACTGCTGCTTTACCATAAAACAAATCTCCATAAGGATTCTTGTAAATGACTAAATATCCATTGGTAGGAAGTTTGTGGGTTATAAAAACACTTAAGTTCTTTCACATTGCTGAACTATCTAATCTCCTATGCTGAATAAAATCCCTTCAGGCTTATACAATGGTTGTCAGAATTTGATGTCCGCTTTTTTTGACATATTATTCTGGTATTTCCAAAACCCTGCTTCCTAGTTTATGATTCCAAATAGAGGATCAATGGCTAATTAGCTAAATTTTGCAACAAGCGAGTGAGCTAGCTGTTCCCTCACTACAACTCTTTTCAGTAAGTATATTAAACAACAGAAACTAAAAATAATTGAAATATTATAAATTGTGTTGCCCCTTCCTCCTTATACTTAGCAAATGCCAGCAGCATAAGAATTTATAAATTGATCTGCTAATCAGTAGATCAGCTACAACCTTTGAACAATAGGATATGAAAAATCAGCTTTACAAGTAGTAAAGTTTGCTTTTTAACTACTTTGCTGCTGGTCTTCCATTCCTGAGGCTATACTAATACATTCATTTGAAGTCCCATTGAAATAAGTGGACACTGACATATCTGGTCCAGAACATGCAGCAGCCCTGGGGTTGCATTTTGCTGGACATATTGAGCAGACTCAACAAATCCTACAGTGCAACTGTGTTTTCACTAAAAAGACTTAAAATGAAGCTATTTATACAGCAAGAAATGATTATTCATGACAATAGGCACATGTTGACAATAGGTACATGTCACAAATTAAAATGGGCACAGTAGTTAATATGCCAATTCCATTTTTTACTCTGCGGTTTCGTATATACTTTGACAACAGAAGGGGAATAGTTTCTTGCCTTGTAGATATTTATGGTACCTACAAATAGAATAAAAATTGGTTAGGCATATTACTATTATTTGCATCAAAATTGTGGGTTTTTTACTGGGCTAAGTCCTTAAGGCCTATGGAGAGTGCAGAAGGTGGGAAAAGCACAATGTCTGTCTATCTGTTTTAGTGTATTTTAATACTCTATTCTTTTAAGACATACAGTAACTCCTCGCTTAATGTAGTAGTAATGTTCCTGAAAAATGTGACTTTAAGCGAAACAATGTTAAGCGAATCCAATTTCCCCATAAGAATGAATGTAAATAGGGGGGATTAGGCTGCAGGGAATTTTTTTCCACCAAACAAAAGACTATTACACCTCTACCCCGATATAACGTGACCCGATATAACATGGGTTCACATACAACGCGGTAAAGCAGCACTCTGGGGGGATGGGGCTGCGCGTGCTGGCGGATCAGTGCATCAGGCTCTGACACGCTGCTCTGAGCAACGTGTTAAGGATGGGAGGCGGGCGGGAGGGGGGTGGGCAAGTGGGGTGGTGTGTGGCAGGCAGGAGGAGGGTGAGGAGGCAGGCAGGTGGGAAGACGGCGAGCAGGAGAGCAGCGGTTGGGCGGACGGGGGGAGGCGCGCCGGACAGATGGCGAGGAGACTAATGGGGAGGCAGGCGGGTAGGTGGGGTGAGGAGGCGAGTGGCGGGCAGGAGCGCTGGGCGGACAGTGAGGAGACTAGCAGGGAGGGCTGATTTGTCCCAGGCCCCACACCCCTCTAGGGATGGCTCCGACATGCCGAGGGGTTGGATAAGGGGCAGAGGGTCTCGGGGGGCGGTTAGGGGACAAGGAGAGGGGGGAGGTTGGATGGGTCGGGGGTTCTGAGGGGTCAGTCAGGGGGCAGAAAGTAGGTGGGGGTCGGATAGGGGTCAGGGCCAGGCTGTTTGGGGAGGCACATCCTTCCCTACCCAATATAACGCGGTTTTACCTATAACGTGGTAAGATTTTTTGACCGCGTTATACACGTATATATATATATATATACACACACACAGAGTATAAGTTTTAAACAATTTAATACTGTACACAGTGATGATGATTGTGAAGCTTGGTTGAGATCAGAGGGTGGGATATTTCCCAGGGAATGCCTTACTGCTAAATGATGAACTAGCAATTGGCTGAGCCCTCAAGGGTTAACTCGTTGTTAATGTAGCCTCACACTCTACAAGGCAGCATGAATAGAGGGAGGGGAGACAGCATAGCAGACAGAGACAGAGAGAGAGATGCGCATTTAAGTATGCTGACCTCACTCTAAGTACACTGCCTTGTTAAGTAGATCAGCAAGCTCCCTCCGTCCTGAGCCCTGTCGTGTGTCCCCACCGCTCTATGGAAGATGGGATAAGCGGGTGAAGGAGCAGGGGGAGGGGGACACCCTGACAGCCCCTCTCTTCCCCTCCACCCCCCACAGCAAGCAAGAGGCTCCGGGGAGTAGCTCCAAGGCAGAGGGCAGGAGCAGCACATGGCAGTGGGAGGAGGGACAGCTGAACTGCTGGCAATTGATGGCCTGCTGGGTGGCTGCCACACAGAGAACTTGGGGGAATGGGGAGCTGATAGGGGGGCTGCTGGTCCACCCTGGTTCCAAGCCCCAACCAGCTAGCTCCAACGGGCTGTTCTTCCTGCAAGCAGTGGACAAAGCAGGCGGCTGCCAAACGACATTATAAGAGAGCATTGCGCAACTTTAAACGAGCATGTTTTCTAATTGATCAGCAACGTAACAACAAAACAACGTTAACTGGGAGGACGTTAAGTGAGGAGTTACTGTATTTAAGTTTGTTTGTTAATTCTGCTATAACAAATGACACTGGAGAAATTGTAGTGCTGTGTTAAATTTACAAAACAACTCAGAATGTGCTTTATAGAAGCCTCTACAAGGCCCCAAATACATCTTATGGGGCTTACACAGACTTGTGTAGAGGCTGCAGATTGGTCTTTGTTTCAGATGAATTCATCTAATTTCTTTTAAAATAAACCACATACCTCTTTAAATGTGCCATGAGATACCTTAAGGTTTCACAGTGTGCAGGTGGCAGTAGTTTCAATGCTTCATGAAGTGTTTCCAACTGTTCATCAGGATCCATGCTTTCTGAAACAGAAACATTTAAATATCAGTGCAGACAATGCCAGATTTCAAGCAGGGAAGTAGAGACATGGTAGGTTTGGGGAGTGACAGGTCTGAAAGGAGTCCTCATGATTAAATCTAACTGTTTATCTCCAGATTATGTCAATGAGCTTTGGTTTTGCTTTAATCAATGTGCCTCCCCCTTTTTCTGGAAGGTCTCTTCTGGAATGACTCTGTCACAACAGTTTCCATGGCCTTCCTAATGCACTGTCAAGAACAATGTTAGAGGAGAAGAGCTGTGATAAGCTGTGACATGTGAATTCCTGTCCACTAGTAACTGAACTGAGTCCACCATGACATTCCTCATAGGTACTGAAAAAGCTGTCAAGATAGTAATTTGGACTACTGACTTGGACTAGTTTTGCACAAGTGACCTAGAGGTGAAATTCTGGTCCTACTGAAGTCTATTCGAGTTTTGCCATTGACTTCAATCGGTCTGAGATTTCATCTCTAGGGGTCCTTTATCTCATTACCAATCACTCTCATAGATTACCTCATTCTCAGTAAAATAAAATTAAGGCTACTTTGAATTATGACATTGTCAAGTAAATAGGATCATTCAACACTTGGTGACAGGAAAAGAGGTTACTCATCCTGCGCAGTAACTGTGGTTCTTCAAGATACTATGAGCGCTCTCTTGGGGTGTGTGTGTGCCCCAGGCACCCTCAATCTGAGATTTTTATTAGCACTGTCCATGTAGCCCTCAGATGCGCTGTTGGTATCTTCATGCCCTGTACCCAGGCTATATCAGGCTGCCTGGATGAACTGCCCCCTCAGTTACTTCTGCCCCGCCGCGTCTCAGGAGAAACTCTGAAGCAGAGGTGAAGGAGGGTGGGTAGTGGAGCACCCATAAGGGGACACATCTCGAAGAACCACACTTACTGCACAAGTGGAGTACCCTCTTTGTCTTTGAATAGTGTCCCTATAGGTGCTCCACTCCTGGTGACTCCTGAGCAGTATCCCCAGTAGGAGAAAGGGGCTTCAGAATTGAGTTCCAGCACAGGGGAGAGAACTGCATTGCCAACTGCAGACCTGGACGCATCAACCAAGGCACAGTATCTAGGGAAGTTATGTACCAAAGACCATGTACTGGCTTTGCAGATTTCTGGAATGGGAACATTTTCAAGGAGAGACATAGATATAATGTGATCTAGTTGAGTGTGCTGAAACGCTGATAGGGGGTGGAACGTTGACAGCCTGGTAGCAAGTTATAATATACTCAGAAATCTATGTAGAGAGTCTCTGGGTAGAAATGGTGAAACCCTTACATCTGTTTGCAATCAAAAGAAATAGTCTATTGGATTTACGAAATGATTTAGTTCTTTCTAGATAGAAGGATAACACCCTTCTTATATCTAGAGTGTGGAGAACAGTCTCCCACTTGAAGTATGTGGTTTTGGGAAGAAAACGGGCAGGTATATGGTCTGATTTAGGTGAAATTCGGAAGTTACTTGAGGGAGAAACCTGGGGCCACAAGGACACCTTAACCTTGTGAAATGTTGTGAAAGGGGAGGTCTGCCATTAAAGCCCCAATCTCTCTGACTGTGGGCTGAGGTAGCTGCCACTAGGCTGTTTTCCTTGATAAATTCAATAAGGAGCAGGTGGCCATTGGTTCCAATAGGGGGTTTGGGAGGCTTTTGAGAACCATATTCAGGTCCCAAGCAGGAGCAGAAACCTTTATCTCTGGGAAGAGATTCCCCAAGCCTTTCATAAATCTTGTGGTTGTGGAATGAGCAAGCAGAGAAACCTTCAATGGCAATATGAAAGGCTGTTAGGGCTGCCAGGTGAACTTTGATGGAACCGAGGAACAGTCCCTATTTCTTAAGCTGTAGCAGGTACTCCAGAATGAGAGGACGTGGGGCAGAATCAGGAGCAGCATTGTGGAGTTTCAACAGTGGCTGAATCTTGTTCACTTCTGGAGGTAAGTAGCTCTGGTGGAAACTTTTCTTCTATTTAACAATATGTGTTGTGCCTCCGTAGAGCAGCATGATTCTAGCCCCATAAACCATCCTGGAACCACGACTTAAGGTGAAGAATGCCCAGGTTGGGATGCGTCAGGTGTCCAGTTTCCTGAGAGAGGAGTTGAGGGATGGCTGGAAGATCTGCTGGAGGATAGAGAGTGAGGTGAAATGGGTAAGAGAACCACAGTTGCCTCAACCACACTGTGGCTCTGAGAATCACTCTGGCCTTTTTCTGCTTGATCTTGTTTATCATCTTGAGGATGAGAGGCGCTGGAGGGAAGGCATAAAACAGTCTGTCTGTCCAAGGCAAGAGGAGGAGTCTCCCAGTCAATTGTGACCTAACCCTCCCTCCCCCCCTTTGAGCAAAATAGGTGGCATTTTTTGTTTGTGGTTGTGCCGAAAAGGTCTCCTTCTGGAAACCCCCAAGTCTGAAAGATTCTGTGTAGAGCCTGATAATCCAACTCCCATTTGTATTCTTGAGAGAAGCACCTGCTGAGTGTGTCAGCAGTGACACTCTGTATGCCAGGCAGATACATTGCTGAAATCCTTATGTGATGCTTTATGCACCAATTCCACAACTTTATGGCTTTGGTGCAGAAGGAAGGGGATCTTGTCGTTCCTGGTCAATTGATATGACTGATAGATCTGTGTCTGATGAGAGGTAGGAAATGCATACAGGCATTTCTTATTGTTCTCAGCTCCAGGAGGTTGATATGGAGGATGGTCTCTTGAGGTGACCATTTGCCCTGTTCTGTCAGGGAGCCAAAGTGCACCCCCCAACCCAAGAGAGATGCGTCTGTGGTTAGTCACTCTTGGTGCAAGTTGGAGGAAGGAGACCCCCTACATAGTGAAGAACCTTCCTTCCATTCTAGGGAATGCTTCACCCACGGGGGAACTGATTCCTGCTTGCCTAGACTGTATCTGTTTGGCGACTAAACCGTTCTGAGCCACCCCTGAAAACAGCGGAGGTGTAATTTTGCATGCTTTGTCACGAAAGTGCAAGTTGCCATGTGACCCACAAGTTGAAGGCAGTTTCTGACTGAGGTCTGGAGACTGTCAAGAATTGATTTGACAAGGCTTAATAATATTTGGAACCTGTCCACGGGAAGTGGTGCCCTAGATGTCAGAGAAATACTACTATAGTCTGGTGAAGCAGGTAAGCAGCCACTACTGACAGAACCTTTGAGAATACTCTCGGAGCATAGAGGCTGAAGGGGAGCACTTGATACTGGAAATGATTCTAGCCTAACACAAATCAGAGGAATCTCTTGTGAGATGGGTGCACCGCTATATAGAAGTATACATCCTGGAGGTTGAGAGCTGAAACCAATCCCCTGAATCTAGACAAGGAATTATAGTTGCTAGGGTCACCATCCTGAATTTCTGGGGACTCATGAATCTGTTTAGGAATCTTAGATCTAGAATTGGTCTCCACCCTCTGTTCTTCTTTGGTATGAGGAAATAATTGTAATAGAAGCCCTTTCCCTTGTATTGAGGAGGTACCGGTTCTATTGCTCCTAAACGAAGAAAGGCATTTACTTTGTACCTTATTAGGGACTCGTGAGAGGGGTCCCTGAAGAGGGGCGGGGAAATGGAATGAGGAGGGAGGGAAGTACAGTGGATGGCGTAGCCCGATGATATTACTCCCAGGACCCATTTGTCTGAGGTGAAACTCTCCCCTCCATTCTGGAAGTGGAAGAGCCTGTTGCCAAATGGGAGAAGGTAGGTAAAACACTGAAGCTGGCAGACTAACGAGGGTTGGAAATTCAGATCCTTGATGGTCCCATCAAAACTGGTGCTTTGATGATGCCTGTTGTGGAGCCACATTAGATGGGTTTAGAGAGTCTGTCACCCACTTAACAAGGTCCTGGAACTGGCAAAAATAATTGGCTGCAGATGGGGGGCAGGGGAGAAGTATCAGGGCCTCATCTGGCAAAGAGGCCGAGATGGTGGTCTGACTTGTGGCTTCTTTAGTTGCCCTGGACTCTTGCTCCTCAAATGTTTCTTCCTGCTGCTGGGGTGGGGAAGCTTGGGTCTCCCTATCGTCCCGATGGGATACTGTCAGGGCCCTAGAGAACTGCCAACAATAGGTTTCCCGGGGATCCTAATATGGCCTTTGAGGTGCATACAGGGGAAGGGATGGCATCCAGGATTATTAAAACCAGGAGTGATGAGCTTCTGGAGCACCTTCCATACCCCTTCAGGAGATGAGGTTAGTGTAAGGGTGTACCAGAGAACCCTGCACTGAAATGGAAGAAACAGAGGAACAGTCATCATCATCATCCTCTTCTTCTTTTAATGGAGGAGCTCCCAGAGAATGGGGCGGGGCGAAGGCACCAGAGATGTAAAGGGATCTGGAGATTAAGAAGTTCCCAGTACCAAGAGATGCTCAGTACCTGCTAACAATGGAGACTCTGGTTCAGCAGTCTTTGCCAGTTCCTTCTGGTATCTGAAATCCTGTGGTGTTGAGTGTTTGTCCTTATCCGACGGTACCAGAGCTGTGGAAGGCTTTGAGGTTGGCGCTGATGAGGTTGAAGACTTACATTGTACCATGTGGGAAGGGCACACAGAGTGGAGTCTGAGATGACGGTAATGACCCTATATGTTTGGTACTGTCCCCAGCTGACAATACCAAGGTCTTCCTGGAGCCCTGTTTAGTTTTAGAGCTGTGGCGTTTTCCCGCATCCCTCATAATGGAGAAGCATTTCCCACCCATGGTACCCAGCCTTGAGGAAGACCTCTCAGAGGCCACAAATCTGGCTGGAGACAGAGGCCTTTATGAGGGGTACTGGCTGGGAGAGGAACTATATTTCCTTTTTTGGAGAGGCTTTGGAGGAGGGCTCTAAGGATTTATCTTCCTAGGAAGAACAGGAGTACTTGTGGCACCTTAGAGACTAAGAAATTTATTTGAGCATAAGCTTTTGTGGGCTACAGCCCACTTCTTCAGATGCATAGAATGGAACATATAGTAAGAAATATACATACATACCCTGGTGAACGGGGCATGTCCATCACAAGGAGAATTTCCCCAGAGGGAGTCTCTATAATCAGAAAAGTTTTTAGGTTTTGTTTGTTTGTTTGTTTTTTTACACAAATGCATCTGATGAAGTGGGCTGTAGCCCATGAAAGCTTATGCTGAAATAAATTTGTTAGTCTGTAAGGTGCCACAAGTACTCCTGTTCTTTTTGTGGATACACACTAACACGGCTACTACTCTGAAATCTTCCTAGGAGAATGTTGCAGGAAGGTGGAAGGGGCTCTAGAGGCTCCTGGAGACTCACGTCCAGGGGGATCCCGATCTGGTTCTGAAGCGGGAAGGCGGGAACGCTCCATCATGAGAAGTTGAAGTGTAACTTCCTAGTTCTTCCAAGCCCTAGGTTTCAGGACTAGACAGAAGTTGCACTTCCGCAGCATGTGCGATTCACCCAGGCAGCGTGTCTGTCTCTGACTGGGATGGCCTCTTTACATGAGAGGCAGCATTTGAACCCTGGTGAACTGGGCATGTCCATCACAAGAAAAATTTCCCCAGAGGGAGTCCTATAACCAGAAAAGTTTTTTTGTTTTTTTTGTTTGTTTTTGTACACAAATGCTAAACAAATACTAAACTAAACTAATAAGACGCTCCAAAACTACCATGGTAGACAAGAAGCGGACATACTAGCTCCGTCTCCAGATCAGGTGGTTGAGAAGGAAATGAGGGGGCGGTTTGCTTGCGCAGTCTGATATAGCCTTGGTACAGAGCACAAGAATATCAACAGCACATGTGTGGGCTGAATGGACACTGCTAATGAAAATCTCCTATTGAGGGTGTGTGGCGCACACCAAGAGTAGAGCACCCACAGGGACATTACTTTAAGAAGATCATATCTTTCCAGTATGTGTAGTGAAAAGGAAACATTTGAGAAAAATGGAGGAGAAACTAGGGTGACCAGACGTCCCGATAAAATCGGGACCGTCCCGATATTTAGGCATTTGTCCCGCGTCCCGATTGATCTTC